TGGCTGCCTCCCGCTGGACTAATTGAAGTTTCCGAACAGTCACCAAAAAGGCAACCCCACGTAGAGTGCGTTGCAGTAATCTAATCAGGATGTAACAAGAGCATGGACCACTGTGGCCAGATTTGTGAAGTGTACGGTAATACTGTTATGAGTGAAAGCAAAGTGCATAAGTGGGTTACTTTACTTACTTATTTAGGCGATCCCTCGCTTTCCGAGGATGATTGTCTTCCAGTGTTCTTGTGGCTGTGGAGCCCTATTCTTGCTCTGCATTGAGGGCATTGGTTTCCAGGTGGAAGGTGGTCTCGGTTGGGGTTGGCTTGACACGCCTTCCTCTTGGCACGTTTCTCCCTTTTGCCCTCCATTCGTGCCTCTTCAAATTCTGCAGCACTGCTGGTCACAGCTGACCTCAAGCAGGAGCGGTCAAGGGCCAGGGCTTCCCAGTTCTCAGTGTCTATGCCAGAGTTTTTAAGGTTGGCTTTGAGCCCATCTTTAAATCTCTTTTCCTGTCCACCAACATTCCGTTTTCCGTTCTTGAGTTCAGAGTAGAGCAACTGCTTTGGGAGACGGTGGTCGGGCATCCGGACAACGTGGACGGTCCAGCGGAGTTTATGGCGGAGGACCATCGCTTCAGTGCTGGTGGTCTTTGCTTCTTCCAGCACGCTGACGTTTGTCCGCCTGTCTTCTCAAGAGATTTGCAGGATTTTCCGGAGGCAGCGCTGATGGAATTGTTCCAGGAGTGGCATGTGACGTCTGTAGACAGTCCACGTCTCACAGGCATATAGCAGGGCTGGGAGGACAATAGCTCTATAAACAAGCACCTTGGTATCCCTATGGATGTCCCGGTCCTCAAACACTCTCTGCTTCATTCGGGAAAATGCTGCACTCGCAAAGCTCAGGCGGTGTTGTATTTCTGTGTCGATGTTGACTTTGGTGGAGAGGTGGCTGCCAAGGTAGCGGAAATGATCAACATTTTCTAATGTTACACCATTAAGCTGTATCTCTGGCATTGGAAAGGGGTTGGTTGGCGTCTGCTGGAACAGCACTTTGGTTTTTTCAATGTTCAATGACAGGCCGAGCTTCTCATATGCTTCTGCGAAGGTGTTTAGAGTGGCTTGTAGATCTTCTTCTGAATGCGCACAGACGACATTGTCATCAGCATACTGGAGTTCTATAACAGATGTTGTTGTAACCTTGGTTTTGGCTTTCAGTCTGCTGAGGTTAAATAGCTTGCCATCTGTCCGATAGATGATTTCCACTCCGGTGGGAAGCTTCCCATCAACAAAGTGAAGTATCATAGCGATGAAGATGGAGAATAAAGTTGGGGCAATAACACATCCCTGTTTGACACCGATTCCACCTTAAATGGGTCACTTTGGGAGCCATTGCTGTCCAAAACTGTTGCCATCATGTCATCATGGAGGAGCCGCAGGATGTTCACAAATTTGTTAGGGCACCCGATTTTTTTGAGGATGGTCCAGAGAGCGCTGCGATTCACTGTGTCGAATGCCTTTGCAAGGTCGATGAATGCCATGTACAGAGGTTGATTTTGTTCCCTGCATTTTTCTTGATTTGATCGCACACTCAAATCTTTGGTTTTTGTGGTCCTCTGTTAGGAGTTTCGGGACCCAACGGGAGCACAGTTTCCTAAACTTTAGGTGTTCAGAAACAATGTTGTAAAGCACTGATCTCGACACGTCAGGAAATTCGTTTGAAAGACCTGTTATTGTGAAGCGCCTGTTCTCACGAATCCTCGCTTCAACTGAAGCCACCAAATCGTCTGTAATCAAAGAAGGGCGACCGGAGCGGTCCTCATCATGGACGTTGTCACGGCCATCTTTGAATTGTCGTACCCACTTACGCACTTTGCTTTCACTCATAACAGTATCACCGTACACTTCACAAATCTGTCGATGAATTTCTGCAGCAGGCAGGTTCCTTGCTGACAAAAACCGTATCACTGAGCGAACCTCACATGCGGAGGGTGAGTTGATAGTTTTAAACATTTTTAAAGCACAGAACAGAACCGTACAGGTTAGCTACAGAGCGGAAACTGAGCACAGTTGTTCCCGAGGCATGCCGGTACACGACGCACTCACTCGTTGCGGTATGCGCGCGAATTACTACTGTCTACAACAAAACGGATCTTACTTAAAAAATACCCCTCGTATAATGATGATGGTGGTGAGACATAAATTAATAATATATGAAGATAATGGTGGCGAGGTATGACTATATTGCAGTAGTGATGTATAAAAATATTATAATAATAATATATAAATATATGATGATGGGATATAAATATATTATAATAATGATGGTGGAGTGTAAATACAGGATAATAATCGTAGTATAAATATATAACAATATTAATAGTGGGGTATAAATATAATAATGATGATGGAGGGATATAATAACATAATAATGGTGGCCATAAATATATGATGGTGATGATGATGATGTATAAACATATAATGTTCCAAAAGGGATGAGATTATGTATGTGCGTGTATATATATATACACACACACACACATATATCCACATGTATACATAGATAACACACATGTATACATACACAAATTGTTAATATGTATGTATATTATTATTATAACCTGTTTTAATGGATTTTAACTGAATTTTTAATACTGTTTATATTTAATTCTGTTTTAATGTTTGCATATTTGCGTATTTTAAATGTTATGCTAATTTTTTTATGTTAAACTGCTTTGAGTCTTCTTTCGGAAAAATAAAGCAGGGTATAAATAAATATAATAATAATATGTGTGTATATGTATGTATATGTGTGTGTGTGCATAGAGATTCTGCGAGATCTTAGGAGTCCAAACATGAAACTAATTTCCGTTATTATCATTTATTTATCATATCAGAAGCAGACCAAGGGTACAGTTGTAATGTATTTTTAAAAACCACAAAGTTTTAAATCTTGGCATTTTATTAAATGTTCTTTGACCATTAGCTGGCTACTTGGAGTGACTCTAGTGTTGTTATAAGGAGGTCCTCCCTTGTGCATATGGCAGGGCTCAGGTTGCATTGTAGTAGGTGGTCTGTTGTTTGCTCTTCCCCACACTCGCATGTTGTGGACTCCACTTTGTAGCCCCATTTCTTAAGGTTGGCTCTGCATCTTGTGGTGCCAGTGCAGTCTGTTCAGCACCTCCCAGTCTCCCTGTCTTCTGTGTGCCCAGGGGGGAGTCTCTCATTCAGAATCAGCCATGGGTTTCTGGGTTTTCGCCTGCCACTTTTGGACTCTTGCTTGCTGAGGTGTTCCTACGAGCATCTCTGTGGATCTTAGAAAGCTATTTCTTGATTTAAGGCATTGGCGTGCTGACCAATATCCAAACAGGGTATGGGCCGGAGATGTCACTGCCTTGGTCCTTTCATTACAGGCTCCTACTTCCCAGCGAATATCGGGTGGTGCAATACTAGCTAAACAGTATAGACCAGGGGTCCTCAAACTTTTTAAACAGAAGGCCAGGTCACAGTCCCTCAAACTGTTGAAGGGTCGGATTATAATTTGAAAAAAAAAAACATGAATGAATTCCTGTGCACACTGCACATATCTTATTTGTAATGAAAAAATCACTTAAAATACAATAATTAAAATGAAGAACAATTTTAACAAATATAAACTTATTAGTAGTTCAACGGGAAGAGTGGGCTTGCTTTTGGCTGATGAGATAGGATTGTTGTTGTTGTGTACTTTCAAGTCATTTCAGACTTAGGTTGACCCTGAGCGAGGGCCGGGTAAATGACCCTGGAGGGCCGTATCCGGTCCCCGGGCCATAGTTTGAGGACCCCTYGTATAGACATCCTGTGATAATYTGGCATTTCCGCCTATAAACAACAATAATGATGATGCTTGTTATTTGTTGTGGTTTGACGGTCTCCTCTCCTCTCTCCCTTGAATAATTCTGGAGCTTGAGGGAATGTCTGTGCAGATATGGCCTACTTGGAAAACCCAAGGGGACAGTTTGGGGTTTTGCTTGATCTTGCCTAGCCACTTCACCTCACTTGGATGTCCTTTTTCCCTGTCCCTAGATCCTGCTGATCGCCTTTCTGAAGGTCATTGACGAGGGCAGCCACATGGTGATGTTGGAGTGCCCCGAGACAGTCAACACCCTCCTTCATGAGTTCCTGCTCTGGGAGCCTGAAGCAGTCCCTTCYGGGTCGCCAAATAAGAAATAGCCACCAAGGTGGGAGAAAACCGCTGAACGAGCYTTTTCAGGGCTGCTTCRTCCAACTGAGGGACTGTCCACATTTTGAGACCCGCTTTGAGGAGGGGAAGCTCCTTTCCTGGAAAACCGGAGTCTGCTATTCCCCGAGGGGGGCCTTCAGAGACCCTCCCGACGGCCATTTCTTGTCCCTTTCTCACGAAAGGAGAGACAAAGGAGCCTTCTGTACGGGACCGGGGTGGTGCGACCCCACACCACCTCAACCCAGGGGAAGACTGGACTCCGAGTTGAGCTGAGCTGTCTTTTTCCTCCCCTCCGTTTGGAGAAGTGAGAGTCGTTAAGATGGCGGGATGTACAACCAAACCCAAATGCACCGTTTTGGGGATCTATATCCTTCACCTATGAGACTCTCTAAAGGCAGAGAATCACTATTTGCTTTCTTGTCAAATCATCTCCAAACCACCGACTCCATTTTGCCCGAATTCCGGAGCTGCTCTCCTTGCCGTTTCCTTTGTAACTATGTAAATAATTTTTGGGCGAGAGAGGTCAAGGAAAACTGGACAAACACTCTGAACTTTGACCCTGGAACTAGATTTATTTTCAATTTTCAACCTTTGTCCAATCCTCGCCTTTTTCCCATCCAACCAAGCTCCTATACTACTTGGGTTGATTCCTTTCGTTCTTTTTGCCCTTTCTAAAACAACTCCATGTTTAAGATGGAAGGCAAGCTATTCCTTTGAGGCCAGGGATGATGGAAATTGCCATTGGAAACATGGTGCGAAACAGCCATTTCTTGTCTCAAGACGGTCAGAGTTTTCAAACTGAGTGAGAGACATATCTGGGAAGTGGATTGAGAAGAATGTCAAACTGGGAAATAATCCAACTGGGATCCAACACTGGCCACTGGATCAATAACTTATCGTAATTTTTCTCAATTCCAGCTAAATAAATCATTTCCCAAAGGAACAAACCCATCTGTCTCTCTGTGAAATAAATACATTCAGGAATGAAGGAAAGTGCGGGAAAAGCTATTATCCTGCCGCTTCCTATTTGCAAAAAAGGGGTGTGTTCTTTCAAATGATTTCAGTTAGGGTCCTGCAGGAATGATGGGAGTTGTAGTCATGACTTTTCCAAATAGAAGGGAAAAAAGAACAGGAAGGAAAGAGTGAGGGAGAAAATGAAGGATAGAAACATCAGGAAGGAGGGATGAATGGAAAGAAGGAAAGAAAGAACTGGAAGGAAAAAAAGAGGAAAGACAGAATGAAAGATGGAAAGAAAGGATAGGTGGAATGAAAAAAGAACAGCAAGGAAGGAAGGAACAGAAAAGAAGGAAGGAAAGAAGGAAAGGGTGGATAGAATGAAAAAAAGAACAGGAAGTAAGGAAAGAAAGAACAAGAAGGAAGGATGGAAAGAAGGTATAAAGGAAGGATGGATGAAAAGAATGAACGGAAGGAATGAAAAAAGAACAGGACGGAAGGAAATAACAGGAAGGAAGGAGGAAAGGATAGATGAAATGAAAGAAAAAAACAGAAAGGAAGAAAAAAGGAGGGAATGAAAGAAGGAAAGAAAGAAGAATAGGAAGGAAAGTGGGAGAGAAGGAAGGGAGGGAGGAAGGAAAGAAAGAAGAGGAAGGAGGGATGGAGAGAGGGAATGAAAGGACAGTCATAAGCTTTATGGTTTTTTTAAAAATTTATTTAAAAAAAACAATCCGCCTAAGAGGTTGGTCGGCCAAAGGGGCTGCACAACAGTTCTTTCAACATTAAAAAAATAAATTTTCAATGGAGGCGGCCATTTTGCCTTGTTTGGGCCGGGAGGAATTCAAAGGAAGTTCCATTATTTAAAGGGCCAGGAGCGACTCCAATCCCAGAGAGCAGGGCCTCCGGCAAAGGGCAGAAAAGAAGCTGAAGTAATCATAATTGTGTCATCTATTTGACAAATTTGTCAAATTGCATCCATTGGAGCCAGAGGGCCGTCATGGCGGCCGGATGTCGGCGGGACACAGCTGCCGCTCCCCTTCAGCCAGGAAGATCTGCATGGCTCTGTGCAGGAGGAAGACACCCAGGCGCCGGCGCCGCTTCAAGGGCCACCCAGCCACCAGGCCATAGTAGTCCCCCTTCTTCATGTTGGTCAGCATCTTCAGCCCTGAGAAGGAGGGAAGGAAGGGATTGAGAACCACTAGAAAGACACAGGAGACAGCAGCTGTTGCTTTGTAGGCTTTGGACCATCGCGAGGGATCTGCTTCGTGTTCGGTACAAAGTGGAGATATTTGGAGCTCCACTCTTCTCTCCCCCCCCCCCCCCCCCAAGGCTCTTGAGGCAGTTTAGAAACTCTAAAATGGAGCTCCATTCTTTTCTCCTCCTCCAAAAGGCCATTGAGGCAGTTTAGAAACTACAAATTGGAGGTCTCTGGGACCCTACCCTTCTCCCTCTGTCCTCCAAAGACTTTTGAGGCAGTTTAGAAACTGTAAAATGAGTCTCCACTCTTCTCTACTCCCTCCTTCCTCTGAGGCCTTAAATAAATTTAGAAACAACAAAGTGGAGGTCTCTGGAGTGCCACTCTTCTCTCCTCCCTCTGTCCTCTGAAGACCATTAAGTAAGTTTGAAAACTGTAAAATGGAACTCCTACTTTATTGTTGTAGATACTATTGTATCTATAGCTGGATAGCCATCTGTTGGGAGGGCTTTGACAGTACCTTCCTGTATCACAGGGATGGGCCTGGATAGCCCTTGGGGTCTCTTCCAACTCTAAGATTCTATGACATACCTACTGTATGCACATCTCAATCATATCTATGGCTGGATGACCCTCTGTCGGGAAGGATCAAATAGTGTCTCTATAGCCAAACATGATTGGACTGGATGGCCCTGGGAAATATCTCCCCACTCTAGGATTCTTATGAACCAACCCACTCTTCTGTCAATTGACCAGTCCCTGAATAATAATAATCTATGATATAACTATGGTATCAGTTTCTCAATCTGACATCACAGATTGATAAGCTACCTTGAGTGCCCTCTGGGGTGAGAGAGGTGGGGTAGAAATGCCGTAAATAAATAAATAATAAATAATCCTATCTGGATAGCGTCTCTGTGGCTAAATGGGACTGGATGGCCGATATGCATATTTGATGCTACACTTATCACCTATATCTCTCAATCTATCGATGGCTGGCTGACCCTCTGTCGGGAGAGATCATATGATGTCTGTGGCCTAACGGGATTGGACTGGATGGCCCTGGGGAGTGTCTTCCAACTCTTGGATTCTATGATTCAATCAACTTATCAATGGATCAATTCCTGCCTGGCCAAAGGGTGAGTGGTTAGGACAGAACAGGGATGCTGCTGGTGTACCATCCGCCCCACTGCTCAACTGTCTCCCTGCCTGAGCTAGCCGGGGTGGTCTCGGGCATGGTGTTGGAGTCCCAATGGCTAGTTGTGCTGGGGGACTTCAACATCCACGCCGAGACCGCCTTATCAGGAGTTGCTCAGGACTGCATGGTTGTCATGACAACCATGGGTCTGACCCAAATGATATCTGGCCCCACCTTCTGTTCGGAGCGGGATGATGGTGACAGTATTGTGGAGGAACTACCCACCATTCCTTTGTCATGGACCGAACACTACCTGGTCAGGTTTAGACTCACTGGGGCTCTAAACCTCTGCTTGGGGAGGACCAAAAAGGAAGGTCTGCCCCAGGAGGCTTGTGGATCCAGATGGATTCCTGACAGCTCTTGTCCAGGCTGCTTTACTGAACACCTCGTCTTACAAACCAGCTCAGACACTGCGGTCAGTGGAGGAGGCCCTGCTCTCAGTCCCACTCCCATCTCAAGTACAGCTGGTGGGAACAAGGAAGAATGCCTTCTCCGTGGTCACCCCCTCCTCTGGAACTCCCTCCCTCAAGAAATAAAGCTGCCCCCCTCCCTCCTCTCCTTCAAAAAACAACAGAAGACCTAGTTATGCTCACTAGAATATGGAGAAGAGGAGGATTAGATAATGAGATATTACTATCGGGCCCTGGTTGAGAACTATTTCATGTTTGGACTCTCCTAGACCACGCCAGCCCAATGACCATTGTTTGACTACACAACCAACCCACATTGTTTTGTGAACTCTAGTTTAGGCTGTTGTGGAAGTTCGCTGTTGTAAATTGATGTGAATGTTTGTTTAAATTTTATGTTATTATATAATTTTGTTTGACTATGTCAGTGTTTCTCAACCTTCCTAATGCCGCGATCCTGAAACACAGTTCCTCATGTGCTGACCACAACCATAAAATTATTTTTGTTGCTACTTCATAACCATAAGTTTCTGTTCTGAATTGTAATGTTAATGTCTGATATGCAGGATGGATTTTCATTCACTGGACCAAATTTGGCACATATACCTGATACTCCAAAATCTGAATACTAGTGTGGTTGGGGGCGGGGGAGTGATTTTGTCATTTGGGAGTTGTAGTTGCTGGGATTTATAGTTAACCTACAATCAAAGAGCATTCTGAAATCCACCAACAATGGAATTGAACCAAACTTGGCACACAGAACTCCCATGACCAACAGAAAATACTGGAAGCTTGGTGGGCATTGATCTTGAGTTTTGGAGATGCAGTTCATCCAGAGAGCACTGTGGATTCAAACAGTGATAGACCTGTACCAAACATGGCATAGGTCTTCGATATGCCCAAATGTGAACACTGGTGGAGTTTGGGGAAAATAGACCTTGACATTTGGGAGTTGTAGTTGCTGGGATTTATAGTTTACCTATAATCAAAGAGCCTAGTCAAAGCCATGGTATTCCCTGTAGTAACCTACGGATGTGAGAGCTGGACCTTAGGGAAGGCTGAGCGAAGGAAGAGAGATGCTTTTGAGCTGTGGTGTTGGAGGAAAGTTCTGAGAGTGCCTTGGACTGCGAGAAGATCCAACCAGTCCATCCTCCAGGAAAGAAAGCCCGACTGCTCCTTGGAGGGAAGGATACTAGAGACAAAGTTGAAGTACTTTGGCCACATCATGAGGAGACAGCAAAGCCTAGAGAAGACAATTATGCTGGGGAAAGTGGAAGGCAAAAGGAAGAGGGGCCGACCAAGGGCAAGATGGATGGATGGCATCATTGAAGTGACTGGACTGACCTTGAAGGAGCTGGGGGTGGTGACGGCCGACAGGGAGCTCTGGCGTGGGCTGGTCCATGAGGTCACGAAGAGTCGGAGACGACTGAACGAATGAACAACAATAATCAAAGAGCATTCTGAACCCCACTTATGATAGAATTGGGCCAAACTTCCCACTCAGAGCCCTCATGACCAACAGAAAATACTGGCGGGATTTGGGAGGAATTGACAGTGATTTAAGGGAGATGTAGTTCACCTGCCTCCGGAGAGCACTGTGAACCCAAGCAATGATGGATCTGGACCAAATTTGGCACAAATACCTGACACACGGAAATTTTAATATTGGTGGGGTTGGGAGGTTTGTTTTTTTTTGTTTTTTTTTTGTCATTTGGGAGTTGTAGTTGCTGGGATTTATCAAAGGAGGGCTTTTGGTGGGAGGATTTACCATCTGTTTCCAAAACAGAATAGAAGGATAGATGGAGAGATCTTCAGCCTTTTCTGCCAAATAGGTTCCTAAGACCATCAGAAATATGTATTTTCTGAAGGGCTTTGGTAACCCCTTTGAAACCCCCTCGTGACCCCCCCAGGGGTCCCGACCCCCAGGTTGAGAAACACTGGACTATGTAAAAATCATATTGATGTTAGGTTTAATTTACTGATGCTATGTTTTAATTCGATGTTATATTTTAATGTTATTTTCCTATGCGGGGTTTCTCTGGGATTTTGTGTCAGTATTTTTTTGTTTTACGAAGGCATTGAATGTTTGCCATTGTGATGTTGGAATCTGCCCCGAGTCCCCCCGGGGAGAGAGATATACGGTGGCATACACATAAAGTTTTATGATGATTATTATAATAAAGGGGGTTGGACCGCCTGAGCATCTGTCGGGAGGGATTGGAGGGTGCCTCACCAATGGCGTCCACGATGCAGGCCTCGCGGGTGTAGGCCTCAACGGGGACCACATTCTGGAAGCAGTGCATGGAGACCACCCCTTGGCCGCTCTCCCAGATCTCCAGGATATGGCACACTTTGGGCGAGACCTGAGGAAGAGGGAGCAAAGTGAGGTGGGGTTCTCTGTCAAAAGCCCCCTTCCCAGGATCTGAATGCGGTGCTTCTGCAAAAGCCAGAGCTACCTTTCCTGGAGGCTTCCCTTGGCCGCCCTGGTTGTAATGGGTCAAGGCCTCGTAGAGGTGGCTGTAAGGCCGGGAGCGCTTGCCTTTCCCCACATAGAAGATGGCGCTGACAAAGGTCCGGAAGCACTCTGCTTGGCTCACAAAGTGGCAGCGGAAGGGGAGGTTCTGTGTCACCCTAAAAGGAGGGAAGGGAAAGGCGATGCCATGAAGAAAAGAACAGGGAGCAGGGACATCCATGTTGCACTCCAAGCCTGGAAACACATATGGCCACCGCACCACACAAGAATATAAAAATCAGGAATAAGAAAGGAAGATATATACCGTATATACTCGACTATAAGTTGAGTTTTTTAGACCTTTTTTAGACCCCTCAACTTATATTCGGGTGAAGGTCCTGGTGGGAATGTGTGGGGCTGAATAGATAATACAGAGACAGACAAAACAGAAAGGAGGTATGTTGCACCGATGTCAACATCCAGCTTTTTGGCGCTTTGGAAGGTTGTGCTTGAATCCAGCCATGGGAGTACTGTCACTCCATCCTCTATGATGAAGAGCCATCAGGACTTCCTCCTTCCTTTTGGTCGCCTGGTATTTTCTGGTCTTTTTTATTTATGCTGTTGTGAAATACCTCCCCCGGTTGTTTTAGTGGTACCTAATTTCTCTAACTACAGCTCAAGCTGTTTTCAAACTGCTTAGGTCAACAGTAAGCTGAGCTTGACAGTTGGCAGCTCATGCCAACACAAGGCTTTGAACTAGCAACTTTTCGGTTGGTATATCTTATCATTGCTGGTGATTTACCAGCTGTGCTAAATCCCAAAGATTCCAAATGAACCAAAATAAAGGCATAATCATAATAAAGAACCTAGCAGTAAGGGAGGCAGCCAAGTGGGAGGTGTCTTTACCTGGGGTCCAGGAGCAGGTAGTTAAAGCTGGATTTGAGCAGGCCTTCCCTCCACTTCTGTCTCTGATCCAGACGGTCAAACTGTCCAATCAAGGCCATTTCGTCATCTTTCGCATCCGGGATCTGGAACGTCTCCAGGGCGAAGGTCAGTTCTGGGCTGTATCCTGGGGCAGAATGTTCACGGGTTTGGGATTGTATTTGCGGGTTTGACTCCTATGTTATCTCTAGAACCCTCCATTGGAAGCGGGCCACAGAGTCACAATGGAAGACTTTGAGATTCTTAGAGAGGTGCTCTGTTCTACTATCATCATCATCATCTCAAGCTAAGTCAACTGATGGTTCATTTAGAGAGACGTTCCACATGATAATTCTGGTGGAGGAAATCGGTTTGCCTACAGAGACTTAGGAAAGTTTCAGTCAAATGATAGATATTATATTAGAGCCATGGACTCAAATGACAGGAAATTATTATTATTATTATTATTATTATTATTATTATTATTGGGAATAACTTCCTGACCAGTGGATGTGCCTTCAATGGAGGCTTTTAAACAGAGGCTGGAGGTCATCTGTTGGGAGGGACCGGATTGTGCTTTTCCTGCCTGGCAGAAAGAGGAGATGGACTGGATGACCTCTGGGGTCCCTTCCAACTCTAGAATTCTAGGATTATATTATTTCTATTATTATTATTGTTGTTGTTGTTATTATTATTATTATTGTTATTATTATTATTATTATGTAAAGGCTAGATACCCACTTCCTGATCAAGTTTAGATTTACTTTACCCTTTACCCTCTGCAGGGGTGGAGGACCCATTAAGATGGTCAACCCCAGGAGACTTATGGATCCAGATGGATTCCTGACGGCTCTTGGGGATATTCCTGCCACCTCAGTTGGTGATCCTGTCGATGCTCTTGTTACCCACTGGAATAGTGAAATGACTAGGGCAATAGACACGATCGCTCCAGAGCGTCCCCTCTCAAGTAGCCGAGCTAAACCATCTCCTTGGTTTATTGAGGAGCTGGCAGCGATGAAGCAAATGAAGAGGAGACTAGAGAGCGTGTGGCGGAAAGAGCCTAGCGAGTCAAATCAAGCACGGCTGGATGCCTATTTAAAGGCATACGCCGCGGCAATAGAAGCCGCAAAGAATTCTTTCTTTGCAGCGAATATTGCGTCTGCAAAGAACCGTCCGGCTGAGCTGTTCCGAGTAATCAAAGGGTTGTTAAATCCCGTCTGCCAAGGCGGGATCCCTGACAACTCGGCAGCCCGCTGTGAAGCATTTGCTCGGTTCTTCACAGACAAAGTTGCTTTGATCCGTTCTGGCTTTTACCCCATATTAATGGCAGTCTCTGAGGATGTAAAACGAGCACTTGCTTGTCCGATTTTGATGGATTCGTTTCAATCTGTGCAGCTCGAGGATGTGGACAAGATTCTTAAAGATGTGAGGCCAACCACATGCATCCTAGACCCTGCCCATCCTGGCTGATAAAGGAAGCCAGAGGGGGTTTGGCAGGGTGGGTGAAGGTGGTGGTTAATGCCTCCCTAAAGGAGGGCAAGTTTCCAGCGAGCCTAAAAGAGGCTATTATAAAGCCGCTGTTGAAGAAACCATCACTTAACCCCCCCCCCCCCAATTAGACAACTTTCGGCCAGTCTGAGACCCCTTGTGGGGAGAAGGGCGGGATAGTAATGTACGAAATAATAAATAAATAAATAAATCTGTCAGGAGGGATTGGATTGCGTATTTCTTTATGGCAGAAGGGGGTTTGACCGGATGACCTTTGGGGTCCCTTCCAACCCAATTCTATGCTCTAATTCTCCATGATGCCTGGCAGAAAGGGCTGGACTAGATGGCCTATAGAGGTCCCTAAAGGTCCCTTCCAACTCTATGACTCTAAAGAAGGCATGGGCAAACCGGCCCTCCAGGACCGAATGGCCCTGGGGGTCTCTTCCTCATTATTGTTATTATTAGTAGTAGGAGCAATAGCAGTAGTATTAGGCCCGGATGGCCCTGGGGGGTCTCTTCCTTACAGACTGTTAGGAATTGTAGGAGTTGAAGTCCAGAACACCTGGAAAAAGGGCCAAAGTTGGCCCATGTCTGCTCTATGGGATTCCACAATATGTCCCATCATGGGCATACCTGACCATTCATTTAGATAGCTCTGCATTACGACTTGGACGGAGGAAGGACACTTACCTGCCGTATTCTTCCGTGCCTTGGTCCTTGGGTCGTTCCTGAGTTTCTCCAAGAGCTTTGTATAGAGTTTCCGTGTGAGCCCCGTCACCGGCCCTGGATTTACACCGAAGTCCCGCAGCTCCTGGACCAGGACTTCGTCCGAAAGGGGCCCGTCAGCCACCTTTCCCGCACAGTCCCGCCAGTCGTACACAACTGTGTCATCGGACCCAGTGAGCGATTCATCTGTGAAGGGGACGCGCCTCTCGACAAGGGAGTGCCCCTCGTCGTCATCCACATAGAGATATTCCACAGGTTTGCTCACATTAGTGTTAATGGGGCGGCCACCCGGGGAGAGCTGGGATGCTTGAACAATGGGGCTTGACCTTTGGGATGAAGTGGGCACGAGAGAGGGCTCTCGGAGAGACATACAGCTGAAGCTCACCCTCGTGGTCTTGGCTTCCTTAGTGCTGACTGATGACGGTTTGGCATCCATCTTGCCCCGTTCCTTTTGGTTATCCCTTGGTGATACGGAGCAGAATGGTTTGGTGTCTGTCTTGTTTGAGTCGTTGCCCCAGTCCTCTCGTTTATCCCTTAGAGACACAAAGCATAATGGTTTGGCATCCATCTCATTTGAGCTGTTGCCACATTCCTCTCGCTTATCCCTTGGAGACACAGAGCATAATAGTTTGGCGTCCATCTGGTTTGTGCTGTGTCCACGTTCCTCTCGTTTATCCTTTGGAGATGCAGAGCATAATGGTTTGCCGTCCAACTTGTCTGAGCTGTTGCCCCATTCCTTTTGGTTATCCCTTGGTGACACGGAGCAGAATGGTTTGGTGTCTGTCTTGTTTGAGCTGTTGTCCCATTCCTCTCGTTTATCCCTTGAAGAAATGGAGCATAATGGTTTGGCATCCGTCTTATCTGAGCTGTTGCCCCTTTCCTTTTGGTTATCCTTTGCCAATACAAAACAGCCGCCAGGTTTGGCTTCCAAATAAAAGGGCCTTTGCTGATCATAATCCTTTACAGGTTCCGTTATCTCCACCAGATCAACAACCGGTATCAACTGGGTGTCCGCCAGCGATCCAGTTTCCCCTCCTGCCACACGGGATGGGTTCTCGTTTTGTGGTTTGACGGTTGAAACGCAGTCCCTTCTGACAACCGGAGGTCTCCCTTCGGGACTGCGCACTCGTCTCGGGCGCCTCGGCATCTCGAGATCTTCGTCAAAGAGAGAGGAAGTCGCGGCACTCTTTGTGGCGGGTGCGGACAAACGATGTTCGACTCCATCGAAGGGCCGGAGGAGAGGCGAGTGAGAGGCCTTGGTGGCCAGCATCATGGCCCTCAGTTTGGCCTCCAGGCTGGACAGCTTCTCTTCCGCAGGACTTGGGCAGAAAACTGGCACAGTCTCAGCCACTTCCGCACTTGTTCCAGGAGTCTCCGTGTCTTCAGGCATCCTCTGTATAAGAACCGTGTCTTGAGTCTGCACTTCTCCATCGGACACTAACACCATAGTTCCAGATTCGCCAGTGAGTTCGTCTTCACTTGCGGCAATGAAGGAACATTCTGGAAGAACTTGATTCGCGGTTATGGGGATTACGAGATTTAGGGTGTTCCTCTTCCCCTCTTTGTGCCAAGGATGCTTTCCAATATCTCTCCTCTCCTGACACATCTGAGAGGCATTGGTAGGGCTTTTATTCTTCCCAGTGAAAGAGAGTCTGGAAGTCTGTGTCTCTAAAGAAGCCTGAGAGTGAACCAGAGTCTGAGATTTGTCGGGAGAGTCCAAAGTGGCTTCTGGAGATATCTTGACATGCTCATGGGACATTTGGCCGCTAGGAGAACAACCCAAGGTGGCTTCCAGTTCCCCATATCTCTGAGCCTTGTTGTCTTGGCTGCAGTCTGAGCTAAAAGAACCACCCAAGATGGCTTCCAGTTCCCCGTTCTTCCGTGGCAGCTCTTCCACGGCGCTTGCTTCGCTGTTGCACGAAAGGTACTGGCTGCAGCTCCCCTCTGAAAGGGCCACCAGGGTCCTTTCGAGATCCTCCGCCATCGCAGCGTCTCCTCGGGAGAAGAGGAAGGCATGGTCTGGAGAGGTGACGTCCAGCCCTTGCCTGATGTTGGGCTTCACTACCAGCTTTGGGTCGAGGAAGCTACTGTAGAGGGTCAGATCCAGAGTGGCATTGGCGTCCCACAGACAATCCAGTTCACATTCAGGTTTGAGGATCCCCTGGGATCCGGAGGCGCTTTGGGACTTGAGGTTTGAGATTCGCTTCCCATTCGCGCGATCAAATTGCAGTTCGGATGCCGCCTCTAAACGAGTGGGAATCTCGTCGTGTTCACACATGCCGTTCCAAGAGTATTCAGTAAGGAACGAAGCTGAGGCCCGGTGGTCCCCTTTGGAGCAGCTTTCATCCAGATACTTGGCTGGGAGGCAGCCATTGGAATAAGGAAAGAGGCCGCTTCCAGTGCTCCCATTTTGAGATGACGCTGAGGTTCGGCTAACCAGGTCTGGACCACAATGCCTTAGGATTCCTCCAGCTTCCAGAGTGTCATCAGTCACGGTGGAGAGGAAGCTCTCTGCTCTTCGGTAGGCTAAAGGGATGGCAGTTATTATTATTATTACTATTGCTATTATTTTTAATCCATATTTCTATCCCACCTTTCTTACTTTAGGGACTCAAAGCAGCTAACAACCACCAGAAATACAATTATTGTTGTCGTTGATTTGGGATGCCACTTACACCTCCAGCTGTTCTGCTCTGATGCCTTTTCTCCTTCCAGAGCCTGGCGCAGGATCCGGGCACATATGGCGTTGCCTTGTTCTAAAGCCAGGTCAAGGGCCGTGTTCCTGTCCTGAAAGGCAGAAGCAGGCAGGCATTTGCTATGGCATTCCTTCTGCACAATCAAAGCCCTCCTCACAGATGGCCATCCAGCCAATGAGGATGATGCTGATGATTAGGACTGGATGGCCTGTGGGGAAGTCTCTTCCTCGTTATTATTCTTAAGAACACATCTCACTACACCAAAACAGTGGGTGTGGCTCTTAATGAGACATGCCGCATTATCACAGGGTGTCTACGCCCTACACCACTGGAGAAATTACACTGCTTAGCGGTATTGCACCACCTGACATCTGCCGGGAAGTAGCAGCCAATAGTGAAAGGACCAAGGCAGAGACATCTCCAGCTCATCACTTGTTTGGGTATCAGCCAGCACGTCAACGACTTAAATCAAGAAATAGTTTTCTAAGATCTACAGAGACACTCGCTGGAACACCTCAGCAAGCGAGAGTCCAAAAGTGGCAGGCTCAAACCCAGCATCTCAATCCGTGGGTGATACCAGATGAGAGACTCCCCCCTGGGCACACAGAAGACTGGGCGACTTGGAAGGCGCTGAACAGACTGCGCTCTGGCACCACGAGATGCAGAGCCAATCTTAAGAAATGGGGCAACAAAGTGGAATCCACGACATGCGAGTGTGGAGAAGAGCAAACCACTAACCACCTGCTGCAATGCACCCTGAGCCCTGCCACATGCACGATGGAGGACCTCCTTGCAGCAACACCAGAAGCACTCCAAGTGGCCAGATACTGGTCAAAGGACATTTAACCAACTACCAAGTTTGCAAAAATTGTGTTGTTTTTTTTATCTGTTTGTTTTGTTCTGTTAGAAATGTAATACAATGTTCTTGTTGCGGATGACATGATAAATAAAATAATTCTTAGGACTTGGTGGCCTGGAGGTCTTTTCCTCACCATCCGATCCCTCCCAACAGATGTCCATCCAGGGACATGTGTGCACATAATTGTTCCCACCTGAAATGTAAACAGAAGACTACGGGATACGCACCTGGTCTTGGATGCAGGGGTCCCCTCCTTCCGTCAGCAGCAGCCTCAAGCACATCGCGCAGCCCCAGGAGGCAGCCACGTGCAAAGGGGTGAGATCCTCCATTGACCTGAAACAGAGAGAATGGCCAGGTGGGACTCTGGACAGGTGAAGAGGCCAAAGGGACCCTTGGATGGGGTTTCCTCTTCGTTCTTAGTTTGAAAGTCTCATTTCTTGTTTCATTGTGAGGTCCGTGCTTTGAAAGGAGTCATTCTACTCCAGGAACTTCATTGTTTATGCGCCACCAACTATGTTGAATTGGTCGAGACTATCAGATAGTCATTGAAGAACTAGAGCACAATGTGTTGCACTGATGTCCCTCCCGCAAAAACAACGTTTTGGCCGTTGAATATACTTTTTCCATGTTTTTATGACAGAACCAATTAAGAAATGACAAAAAATGACCCAGGAACAAAAATCATGTTACATAATGTAATAAATTATAATAAAATAATCTATACACATAATAAAAGTGCCACGAACAAGTCTCCCAACCCCTGCCAATGTCCTCCCCAAACACCACGCTGCCCACCATCCAAGGAATGCTTTCATTCAGGGACCATTTCGTTCTAGATGTTCTGTTTTTCCTCCAGTATGGACATCCCAAGGTTCCTTTGTCTCTCCCCATTGGTATGGAATTTGCATGACCCTGCCCACTACATTTCCCTTAACCCTTTCCTACCCTTTCCTGTGGCACACAGCAAACAGGAATTGATCAGCAACTGAACAAGAGTTTTGGGAAGAATTTACACAGTTGTAGTTCACCTACATCCAGAGACCTCTGTGAATCCAACCAACAATGGATCCGAATCACACTTGCCATGGATGATGGGATTTACAGTACCTTCACCCACTTCCCGAGACCACTGCACTCCCAACAAATGACGAGCCTGGACCAAACTTGCCACACAGACACACCATGATCCACTTCACATTCTGGTACAGTTTGAGGGAGGATGGACCATGTATGATGGGATTTGCAGTACCTTCAGTCACTTCACAAGACCACTGCAACCCACACAAATGACAGACCTGGACCAAACTTACCACACGGACTCTCCATCATGTACTTTATATCCTGGTGAGTTTTGGGAGGTGAACCAGGGACTATGGGACTTGCAGTATCTTCATTCACTTTCCAAAACCACTGCAACCTGAACGAATGATGGACTTGGACCAAATTTAACATAAAGACTCCCTATGACACACTTTCTGTCCTGGTGAGGGTTGGGGGGAAAATGCTGTATGTCAGCCTGTGATTATGTATAATGATCAGGGTACTCTGGATGATGGGAATGACAATGAGGTTTGTGTGTCTAATGATCAGGTTGCTGTGGTTTTTGAGTTCTGTGAATACCACAAACGAACATTACATTTTTATTTATATAGATTACATAACATGTAATTAAATATATAATTATAATATTGTATTATTATTACTAGTATTATATTGTATTACATTATAATATTATAAATATTATATGTATATACAATATACTATATTATATTATTAGTAAAGACAAGATGGAAGTGTCTTCTGCTCAAAACAAACAAGGCCTTTTTCAAATAACTCATTGAATCAAATGAGATCCGCCACAGCAGGGACTCACAGAAAATGGGCACCCCAGACTTATTACTTGTCTGGGTTTCTGCCAACAGGCTTCTTCTGGTCTCACTGCTAGGGGTTGCCTCCTAAACTGGGGCCAACAGTAATGATAACAACAACAATACCTGGCGTTGGGGTCTCCGCCATGTTGGAGAAGGAGGCCCAAGCAGCGGAGGCCACTCTCCTGCTCCATGCCAGCTGCCAAGTGGATGGGAGCCATGCCTTCAGGCAGCACCAAGTTGGGGTTGGCGCCCTGTTGGAGGAGGGTCTCCACCATCCTAGGAAGGAACAGAAGGAAAAGAAAAGTAACAGAAACCTGGCTTGGTCTCAACTCTAAAATTACAACAGCAAAACAACAGAGAGGAAACAAACAAGGACATCTAATCCTTGTTTGTTTCCTCCGGAGACAGAGGGTGGAGTGGTTAGGCCAAAGCTCTGAGAGCTCCTGCCTTTGCTGTGAAGTTCCCCCCTCGCCCCTGTTATTTAATATCTACGTCCAGCCACTTGCTGGACTGGTGCGGAGCTTTGGCATAGAGTGCTACCAATATGCAGATGATACCCAGCTACTCTTGTGTCTCGAACCTGGGACAACCGCGATTCCTGAGAACTTTAGGCTGTGTTTGGAAGCAGTGATGAGTTGTCTGTGAGCGAGCAGACTAAAAGTGAATTCTGCTAAAACTGAGATACTCTGGCCTGGCCAGCCGCCAGAATTAACCCAGTCTCTGCCTGATTTCGATGGGGAAGCTCTGGTTCCGTCTGCCACTGTTAAAAGCCTTGGGGTTGTGTTGGACTCATCGCTAACGATGGAGGCCCAGATCACTGCCATAAGTAGTGGTCCCCCTGTTTACCTCTCTGAACGTATTCTCCCCTATGAGCCATCAAGATTATTAAGATCATCTGGAGAGGCCCTGCTCTCGGTCCCACCGGCCTCGCAAGTGCGTCTGGTGGGGACGAGGGACAGGGCCTTCTCAGTGGTGGCCCCTCGACTCTGGAACTCTCTCCCACTGGAGATCAGAACCGCCCCGTCTATCCTGACATTTAGGAAACAGGTGAAGACTTGGTTATGGAGACAGGCATTCGACGAGTGAGCCAACACCCTGAGATATGGATGGAGGATGATGAGCAACGATTTTAGTGTGACGACTGACCATTATAGTTATTGATTGTAATTGCTGTTTTAATGTTTTACTGTAATATGTATTATGATGTTTTATTGATTGTATGTGATGTTATGGTTGGAAACCGGTCTGAGTTCTTCAAGAGAGGTGAGAAGGCCGGTATACAAAACTTTTAAATACATAAATAATAAATCGTAAACCGGATCGGGGTATAGGGTGGCAACCTGTGTTGGACGGGGTTACACTCCCCCTGAAGTCACAGGTCCGCAGTTTGGGAGTCCTCTTGGATTCATCACTTACGCTTGAGGCTCAGGCGTCGGCGGTGTCCGGGAGGGCTTTTGCACAGCTAAGACTCGTGCGCCAGCTGCGACCGTACCTCGCAAAGGTTGATTTGGCCGGGGTGGTCCATGCCTTGGTCACCTCTAGACTGGACTACTGTAATGCGCTCTACATGGGGCTGCCCTTGAAAACGGCTCAAAAATTCCAACTGGTCCAACGGGCGGCGGCCAGGATGTTAACTGGCGCTCCTTACAGAGAGAGGTCAACCCTCCTGTTTAAGGAGCTCCACTGGCTGCCGTTTACCTACCGAGCCCAATTCAAGGTGCAGGTGCTTACCTACAAAGCCCTGAATGGTTTGGGACCTGCCTACCTGCGTGACTGCATCACTGTCTACGAACCCACACGCTCACTACAGTCATCTGGAGAGGCCCTGCTCGTGATCCCGCCCGCGTCGCAAGCGCGCTTGGTGGGGACACGAGACAGGGCCTTTTCTGTGGTGGCCCCCCTGACTTTGGAACACCCTCCCCAAAGACATTAGACTAGCACCCACGTTGGCAGTCTTTAGGAAGAACTTGAAGACCTGGCTATTCCGATGTGCTTTTCCAGAATAGGATAACCTCCAGCACTATGTCCCCAGAAGCACTTTATTAGAGTTTAAGACTCTCTGCACATTGCACTTGCCCGGAAATCCAACATACCTCCTGCCACACCCAGCACTTTTTAACCTGTACCCATCACTGGTCCGGCCCTGGTTTTTATTGTGTAATGATGTAATGTTTTGTTATTGCTTATGTTTTTAATTTACTTTAAATTGTATCGTTATTGTTGCTGTTGTTGTGTTGAGGCCTTGGCCTTTGTAAGCCGTATCGAGTCCTGCAGGAGATGCTAGCGGGATACAAAGACATTTTAACATAAGTAAGCAGGCCTTTTTTCATCTTCGCCAGGCAAGGAAATTGGCATCCTACCTTTCGGTAGAAGCATTGGCAACAGTAATCCACGCAACAGTCACCACGAGGTTGGACTATTGCAACGCCTTATATGCCGGCCTTCCGAAGTCAAAACCCAGAAGATTCGGATGGTCCAAAATGCAGCGGCCAGGCTGCTAGCGGGATCATCTATAAGATCCCATATTACACCGATTCTGCAACAACTGCATTGGCTACCAATAGAACATCGGATCTCTTACAAGATACTGATCCTGACATTTAGAGCTCAAAATGGCCAAGGACCTTTATATCTTAGGGACCGCCTCATTCCTTTTCCCCATCAGTGGTCACCTCAATCTACCCAGGAAAATCTCCTATACTTATCGGGCCCTAGGGAGGTACACGTGGAAGCTACAAGGCGTAGAGCTTTTTCGACCTGTGCTCCAATTCTGTGGAACTCATTGCCTCCATACGTTAGAGCAGTGGTTCTCAACCTTCTTAAGGCCGTGACCCCTTTATACAGTCTCCCATTTTGTGGTGACCCTCAACCATAAAATTATTTTCGTTGCTACTTCATAACTAATTTTGGCTACTGTTTTGAATCATAGAATCATAGAGTTGGAGGAGACCTCATGGGCCATCCAGTCCAATCCCCTGTCAAGAAGCAGGAAAATTGCATTCAAAGCACCCCTGACAGATGGCCATCCAGCCTCTGTTTAAAATGTAATGTAAATATCTGATATTCAGAATGTATTTTCATTCACCGGACCAAATTTGACACAAATACCCGATACGTCCAAATTTGAATACTGGTGGGGTTGGGGACTGGATTGATTTTATCATTTGGGAGGTATAGTTGCTGGGATTTATAGTTAACCTGCAATCAAAGAGCATTCTGAACTCCACCAATGATGGAATTGAACCAAACCTGGCACTCAGAAGTCACATGACCAACAGAAAATACTGGAAGGGTTTAGTGGGCATTGACTTGAGTTTGGGAGTTGTAGTTCACCTACATCCAGAGAGCACTGTGGACTCAAACTACGATGTATCTGAACCAAACTTGAGAGCCGTTCAGCAGTAGAACTCTCTGCCCTGAGTGTGGTGGAGGCTCCTTCTTTGGAAGCATTTAAACAGAGGCTGGATGGCCATCTGTCAGGGGTGCTTTGAATGCAATATTCCTGCTTCTAGGCAGGGGGTTGGACTGGATGGCCCATAAGGTCTCTTCCAACTCTTTGATTCTATGATTCTGTGATTCTATGAATACTCAATATGCCCAAATGTGAACACTGGTGGAGTTTGGGGAAAACAGAGTTGTAGTTGCTGGGATTTATAGTTCACCTACAATCAAAGAGCATTCTGAACCCCACAAATGATAGAATTGGATCAAACTTCCCAAACAGAACCCCGATGCCTAACAGAAATTATTGTGTTTTCTGATGGTCCTTGGCGACCCCTCTGACACCCCCTCAGGGGTCCCGACCCCCACGTTGAGAAACACTGCGTTAGAGCAATGTCGGAGTTGCGACCTTTTGTAAAGGCGCTCAAGACTTGGCTGTTTGGTTGTGCATTTAAGTAATCAGATCTAATTTGCCAAATAGTCACTGTTGAATGTTTTTATGTTGAATGTTTTTATATTGTGTAAATGCTATTTTAGACTGTAAGTCGCTCGGAGCACCTTGGTGGAGAGCGACTAATTAAGAAATGAAGTGAAGTAATCACCTCTCAACAAAAGATTGCCCCAGGCACTGCCAAATTATCAAATGCTAATCAAGGTGGTCAGTTGAAACATTGGAGCCCCTGGTGGCGCAGTGGGTTAAAGCCCTGTGCTGGCAGGACTGAAGACCGACAGGTCGCAGGTTCGAATCCGGGGAGAGGCGCATGAGCTCCCTGTATCAGCTCCAGCTCCTCATGCGGGGACATGAGAGAAGCCTCCCACAAGGATGATAAAAACATCAAATCATCCGGCGTCCCCTGGGCAACGTCCTTGCAGACAGCCAATTCTCTCACACCAGAAGTGACTTGCAGTTTCTCAAGTCACTCTGACATGGCAAAAAAAAAGTTGAAACATTCACACCTAGCTCCAGCAGACAAGAGTCCTTTGCCCCACCCTGGTCATTCCACAGATATATAAACCCCTTTTCTAAGTTTCAACAGACCTCCCAACCTCTGAGGATGCTTGCCATAGATGCAGGCAAAACGTCAGGAGAGAATGCCTCTAGAGCATGGCCATATAGCCCGGAAAAACCTACAACAACCCAGCAAAGTTCTTTATTTGCTTCCACTTTCCTCCTCCTCAGTCCAGCTGGAAGATTCCTAGCAGCATTGGCATTGATGAGGAAAGAGAGCTGGGTGGAGAGGATAGATTTAATAAACAAATAAGCACAAATCACTTCTCTCACACCCCTCCTCCAAAAAAATATTTCAAATGCGCGCCCCCTGCAAAGGATTTGTTTTACAGGCTTGGGCGTACTTGGGGTGGGTAGGAATGCAAGTGCCAAACCCCTCCCCCAAGGTTAGAAACGCGAGGAAGCTCGGCAACCCGCCGAAGCCGCATTCACACGTGCAAACTTACGTGTCGTCCTCGGCTCGCAGCGCCTCGCAGAGCCGTGTGGCAAGCTGGAGAGCGCGATGCCCCGCGCGGCCGCTAGAGGGCGGCCAATGAGCGGCGGCGGCGCGTCTGCGCATGCGTGCTTCGCTCCCGAGACCCCGACCTCACTTCCCTCGCCGGCGTGGTCTCGCTTGGAAGGAGGCCCGGTCCTCGGCCTCAGCGCGGGGTCCTGATGGAGAGGGAGCCCCCCAAAGCCCTTCAGGGCCATTACGGTTCCGCCGTCATCACTCTGAGAAGCGCTGCCGCCATCTTGTTCCGAAAATTTCAAGCTTCCCGCCTCAGCGTCGTCGAGGCGCCTCATTGGTTGGTTTCAAGGTAGGCGTTTGATTGACAGCCGGGCCAACCACTGATGAGGACGCATGGGTTAAGTGAAGCATATAAGGTGTCCGCCCCTCCGTCTTGGCCTCGCCTTACGCTTGTTCTTCGGCTGCAGGGTAGGCCTCATCTGGGTTTGATTGACAGCTAGGCCAGCCAGTGAGAAGGACGCGAGGGGTAGCTGAAGTATATAAAGTTTCCGCCCCTCCGCTTTGGCCCCGCCTCACGCTTGCTCATCACAGGAGCTGTCTTCATAGACCTGTTAGCAGCCTATGATACTGTGAACCTCCTCCTGAGAAAAATGTATAATATCACTTCACTTAGGCGATCCCTCGCTTTCCGAGGATGATTGTCTTCCAATATTCTTGTGGGTCCGTATGTGGCTGTGGAGCCCTATTCTTGCTCTGCATCTTCTTCCGCAGTGAGGGCATTGGTTTCCAGGTGGAAGGCGGTCTCGGTCGGGGTTGGCTTGACGCGCCTTCCTCTTGGCACGTTTCTCTTTTCCCTCCATTCGTGCCTCTTCAAATTCTGCAGCACTGCTGGTCACAGCTGACCTCCAGCTGGAGCGCTCAAGGGCCAGGGCTTCCCAGTTCTCAGTGTCTATGCCAGAGTTTTTAAGGTTGGCTTTGAGCCCATCTTTAAATCTCTTTTCCTGTCCTCCAACATTCCGTTTTCCGTTCTTGAGTTCGGAGTAGAGCAACTGCTTTGGGAGACGGTGGTCGGGCATCCGGACAACATGGCCGGTCCAGCGGAGTTGATGGCAGAGGACCATTGCTTCAATGCTGGTGGTCTTTGCTTCTTCCAGCACGCTGACATTTGTCCGCCTGTCTTCCCAAGAGATTTGCAGGATTTTCCGGAGGCAGCGCTGATGGAATCGTTCCAGGAGTTGCATGTGACGTCTGTAGACAGTCAACGTCTCACAGGCATATAGCAGGGTTGGGAGGACAATAGCTTTATAAACAAGCACCTTGGTATCTACGGATGTCCCGGTCCTCAAACACTCTCTGCTTCATTCGGAAAAATGCTGCGCTTGCAGAGCTCAGGCGGTGTTGTATTTCGGTGTTGATGTTGACTTTGGTGGAGAGGTGGCTGCCAAGGTAGCGGAAATGATCAACATTTTCTAATGTTACACCATTAAGCTGTATCACTGGCATTGGAGAGGGGTTGGCTGGTGTCTGCTGGAAAAGCACCTTGGTTTTTTCAATGTTCAATGACAAGCCGAGCTTCTCGTATGCTTCTGCAAAGGTGTTTAGAGTGGCTTGTAGATCTTCTTCTGAATGCGCACAGACGACGTTGTCATCAGCATACTGGAGTTCTATAACAGATGTTGTTGTGACCTTGGTTTTGGCTTTCAGTCTGCTGAGGTTAAACAGCTTGCCATCTGTCCGATAGATGATTTCCACTCCGGTGGGAAGCTTCCCATCAACAAGGTGAAGTATCATAGCAATGAAGATGGAGAATAAAGTTGGGGCAATAACACATCCCTGTTTGACACCCGATTCCACCTTAAATGGGTTATAATATCACAAAGGACTACCACCTTACCCGCCTCATAGGATACCTACAAAACAGGAGCTTTTTTGTTGAGTTCCAGTGCCAGAGAAGCAGATGGCGGAAACAGAAGAACGGCCTGCCTCAGGGGAGCGTGCTTGCTCCATCCATGTTCAACATCTACACAAATGACCAGCCACTGCCAGAAGGGACAGAGAGTTTCATCTATGCTGATGATCGTGCCATCACTGCTCAAGCAGGGAGCTTTGAGATGGTTGAACAGAAGCTCTCCGAAGCTCTAGGTGCTCTTACTGCCTATTACAGGGAAAACCAGCTGATCCCTAATCCCCATCTAAAACACAGACATGTGCCTTTCATCTCAAGAACAGACAAGCATCCCGAGCTCTGAGGATCACCTGGGAAGGAATCCCACTGGAGCATTGCAGCGCACCCAAATACCTGGGAGTCACTCTGGACTGTGCTCTGACCTACAAGAAGCACTGCCTGAACATCAAGCAAAAAGTGGGCACTAGAAACAACATCATACAAAAGCTGACTGGCACAACCTGGGGATCACAACCAGACACAGTGAAGACATCTGCCCTTGCGCTGTGCTACTCTGCTGCTGAGTACGCATGCCCAGTGTGGAACACATCTCACCACACTAAAACAGTGGATGTGGCTCTTAATGAGACATGCCGCATTATCACGGGGTGTCTGCGCCCTACACCACTGGAGAAATTACACTGCTTAGCCGGTATTGTACCACCTGACATCCGTCGGGAAGTAGCAGCCAATAGTGAAAGGACCAAGGCAGAGACATCTCCAGCTCATCCCCTGTTTGGGTATCAGCCAGCACGTCAACGACTTAAATCAAGAAATAGTTTTCTAAGATCTACAGAGACACTCGCTGGAACACCTCAGCAAGCGAGAGTCCAAAAGTGGCAGGATTCTAGAATTCTAGAATTAAAATATTAATATCTATATAAATAAAAAATGTTCAACAGAACTCAAAAACCACTGGATGAATTGACACCAAATTTGGACACAAGACACCTAACAACCCAATGTATGTCCTTCACTCAAAAAATTGATTTTGTAATTTGGGAGTTGTAGTTGCTGGGATTTATAGTTCACCTACAATCAAAGACCATTCTGAACCCCACCAACGATGGAATTGAACCAAACTTGGCACACAGTTCTGCCATGACCAGCAGAAAATACTGGAAGGGTTTGGTGGGCAGTGTTCTTTGGGATTTATAGAACACCCACAATCAAAGAGCATTCTGAACTCCACCAATGATGGAATTGAACCAATCTTGGCACAAAGAACTCCAATGACAAACAGAGAATACTGGAAGAGTTTGGTGGGCAGTGTCCTTTGGTTTCGGAGTTGTAGTTCTCCTACATCCAAAGAACACTGTGGACTCAAACAATGATGGATCTGGACCAAATTCTACACAAATACTCAATATGGCCTAATGTGAATACTGGTGGAGTTTGAGGAAAATAGAATCTTGACATTTGGCAGTTGTTCTTGCTGGGATTTGTAGTTCACCTACAATCACAGAGCATTCTGAACCCCACCAACAATAGAATTGGGCCAAACCTCCCATACAGAACCCCCATGACCACCAGAGTGGCAGGGGATGGCTAGTATAATAATAAAATGAAATAATGGTAAAATAATGTATAATAATGTAACAACAATATATAATAATATAATAATGTACATAATGGTCTAATAATGTAATTATAGTAATAAATGAATACATAATAATGTAACAATATACAATATTTTTATTTATTTATTTATTATTCGAACTTATATGCCGCCACTCCCCTGGGGCTCGGAGCGGCTTACAAGAACAGGCTAAAATCTAACACAATTTAAACCAATTTAAAAACAGCAATATTAAAGATCAAATAAAATATAATGATGTAACAATATATAATATGTAAATATTATGATTTATAATCATATAATGTAATTATTATAATATATCATAATGTAAACAACATAACAATAATAAAATGAAATAATAATAATATAAATATAGTAATATAAAAAATATATTTTATTGCTGAAGAAAGTAAAATAACGGCAACGTTTTCTGCAAAAGCAACAGAAAAGTGTGTCACAGAGAAATATAGAACAGAGATGAAATATTAATGAATTCCCCTAAATGTGTGTGTGTATTATTTATGGATGGAATCATACAAAGATTTCCATCTGTTTTGCATCTTCTCTGTTTTAATATGTAAAGGAAATGCACAGCTGATTGTGCAAAATAGAAAGGTAGAAATGCATGCTCAAAAAGTGAATGTGCGAACAAGTGAACAAGTGTAAGTGGACGTCAATGCAGGTTCAATGGAGAGTTCACCGTGGAATGCACAACTGAGTGTACAAATGGATGCGAACGCAGGTACATCCTTAATTGAGTGTGCAACCGAACACAATTGAATGCACAACTGCACTAGTGAATGCATGAGAAAGTGCAAATTGATGTAAATGCATCTAAATCCTTAAGTGTGCAACTGAGTGAACAACTGAGTGTGTGAATGGGTGTCTATGCACATCCTTGAGCGTGCAACTGAGTTCACTAGTGAGTGTGCAAGTGGATGCCAATGCAGGTATGATGGACAGTTCACCACTGAATGCATGGCTGAGTGTGCCAATGAATGTAAATGCTTATAGGTCCTTAATGGAGTGTGTGACTGGATGCACAAACAAATGCACTGCTGAGTGTGTGAATGGATGTAAATGCAGGTTTGATGGAGAATTCAGAATTGAATGCACCACTGTGTGTGCAAATGTAGGTCCTTAATTGAGTGTACAACTGAATGCACAAGTGAACTAATAGGTGTGCTAATAGATGTAAACCCAGATCCAATGGAAAGTTCACAATTTGCATACACAACTACACTAGAGAGTGCAAACTTAGGCGATCCCTCGTTTTCCGAGGAGGATTGTCTTCCAGTATTCTTGTGGGTCCATATGTGGCTGTGGAGCCCTATTCTTAATCTGCTCCCGCAGTGAGGGCATTGGTTTCCAGGTGGAAGGCGGTCTCGGTCTTGGTTGGCTTGACTCGCCTTCCTCTTGGCACGCTTCTCCCTTTCGCCCTCCATTCGTGCCTCTTCAAATTCTGCAGCACTGCTGGTCACAGCTAACCTCCAGCTGGAGCGCTCAAGGGCCAGGGCTGCCCAGTTCTCAGTGTCTATGCCACAGTTTTTAAGCTTGGCTTTGAGCCCATCTTTAAATCTCTTTTCCTGTCCTCCAATATTCTGTTTTCCGTTCTTGAGTTCGGAGTAGAGCAACTGCTTTGGGAGACGGTGGTCGGGCATCCGGACAACGTGGCCGGTCCAGCGGAGTTGATGGTGGAGGACCATCGCTTCAATGCTGGTGGTCTTTGCTTCTTTCAGCACGCTGACGTTTGTCCACCTGTCTTCCCAAGAGATTTGCAGGATTTTCCGGAGGCAGCGCTGACAGAATCGTTCCAGCACGACTGTGCTAATGCAGATCTGATGGAGAGTTCACAACTGAATGCATGACTGGGTGTGCAAATGGATGTACATGCATATCCTTAATTGAGTGTGCAACCAAATGAACAAGTTAGTG